TACCGGCCCTCAGCATGATGGAACACTGGAGCGCAGTATTCTAGCATAGGTCTAATTGTTGTACAATAAGAGTTCACAATGTCAGTAAGGGGGACACGGGCCCTTTTCAAGAGAAAAATAAAATACAGGCGCTTATTTGCTTTCTTAATGCAATCTGCAGTATGATTGTTCCATTTCAAGTCACTGGATATCGTAACGCCTAATATCTTCGCGCGGTCGGTGACAGGAAGCTCGTGACCATCTACCGACCATCTCGTGACCATCTTCTTTAAGTCAATAATCATCTCCTTGCATTAATTATCTGTTAAAGAAAGGTAAACTTGAAGCGCATCCATCGAAAATATAGAAATAATCAGGAACACTTACAAGAAGCTAGCCCATCGCAATGCTTAAACGGAGGACTGAAACAAATATTACATTGACAAATTCGACTGCAAACTGTGGTTTTTATACGTGTGCGAATGCTCTGCACCTTAAACATAGTAAGGCAACGATACTCTGAAAGTTGATTTTAGAGGTGAATTAACTAACCAAAGGCAATAAGAAAATCATCTTGATCTTGTTTGTTGTGGAAAGCTGCTATCTGCTAAGAGTCGGACCCTAAATAATGTTGCGAGTCGCCTCAGACGTGAGATCCTTGTTGAAAGCACAAAGGTTTCTGGGATCACCACGTAGCTAACATCGCATAAAATTCCTGGAAGATAATCTACGGCAAAGGGTTGTTTTAATGTCCGAGAAAACTGTTTTGGAGAGAAATCAATTTTTCGCCATAGAGGAATGTAGCTGGATTTTGTAGATGTTGATGCGTACTCAGTTGCTGTACCGTTCATGATCGCCGAACGGATCATGGCAGAAAGTGTGGAGGGCCAACACAATAGAAACCTTCTCGACTTTCCCGACAGCCAATCTGGGATCTCTTCGATTTAAAGGTTTCATTTGTCGGAAATCTGGGAAGGTCGGGAAACAGTAAAATTGCCGATCGTCTAGGATTTTCTTGACTTACGAAAACCAGGCTTTACAACTCAAAAACCGAGAGTTATTAGGTTATTTAGTCAGCAGCGAGATCAGTAAAGTTACTGTATGCCGAGGTCCATTTCTTAGAGTACAACAGAATTTTTCATCATAACAAGCATCTGTGGGTGTAACAAGGAACTTTGTTTGCGGGCACTTCACTTCGATGATTCCAAAAGGTTCAGACGCTCCAGAATCAATGACATTACCATCAGTAGAGCACCCCAATATGCATTCCGTAACAACAAAGCTACATTTGTACACTTCTATTGGTTTCTTGATACTATTCATGTATTTCAAATACTCATTTATTGCTGTGCTTTCATATTTAATTCCGTGTGGTGTGTATACTGATTTTGCTTCTGTTGGATGCATTAAATTGTTTGCAAATGTGCCATGATTCCTTTTATAGTGTGAAATGAGATGAAACCTTGAAGCAGTAAATCTATACTTTCGTTCAGATTTCCACAATTCACAATTTGCTTGTCCTCTAGTTTTCAGTTACACTTAATTTATTTCATCTTCAGATAATGACAGAGATTCAATCAATATTTGTTGATTGTCAGTAATATCATGGTGATTGTTTTCATCTAGGTCAATAAGAGGAGATCGTGGATAAACTTCAATAGGATTAGTGTTATTGCTCCTTTCAATACTTGATATTTCCATTGTAACAACAAAGTTAGATTCTGTATAAGAAGCCTGATAACTTAGGAATGACCCTTTAGCAGCTTGATCAAACTTTGTGTCAACTAAAGTACTAGGTTGGTTTGAGTTTAATTTAGCAAGAGCCATTGTAGGGTTAAGGCTGATAGCTTCGAAAGAAACTGTTTGGGGCTGCGTCGGTGGGAGTAACGAAATAATCTGGATATATCAACAAAGTTGAAGTGGTCAATTGGCCACCGTAACGATTCCAAAAGCTGACGTTTCGAGCGTTAGCCCTTCGTCGTTAGCCCTTCGCTCCGACGAAGGCCTAACGCTCGAAACGTCAGCTTTTGGAGTCGTTACGGTGGCCAATTTACCACTTCAACTTTGTTGATATATCCAAATTATTCCATTGTAGGGTTAATTCTCTTTAATTCATTCACTTCGTCCTCATCTATTTGAGGACTTTGACGTGCCTCATATAAATTACATCTTATTCCATCATTGTTAACATCCTCGAGTTTGGTCTCCTTTACTATAATGTCCATTATAGGTTGTGGAAAACTTGTTTCCCCTCGTCCTCTTTTGTGCCATTTTTGAAGGCTTGAAGTGCAGGCCATTGTTGGGTTATGATCATTTTCACTAGTTAAATCTTGAGTTGTTTTACATTTATATAGTGAAAATCTGCATACTTTGAGCATCAGACATAAAGAGTGGTTACAGTAACCTGCCTTGCCAGCAACACATGTACATATCCAGTTTACGACTTCCCCAGTGATTATACTTAGTGCTAACTTACGTGAGTGTGGCTTTTCACTTTTTCGGAAGGAATGGTAGCATTGACATGTAAAGTAAAAATTGTATTCGTCACTCGAAGATTCAATGTCCTTCAAGTACTCATCTTCTAAAAATGTTTTGCCTATCCTCCAGCTTGTCAGAACAGAATGGTTGTTAACACTCCCTAAACGTTTTCCACCATCTCTGATGTGATTGTCGATCTCCGCTCTTGTGAAAAAAGGCATCTTATGTAGCGATTTAGGTCAGCCATCTTCTGGGTACCTCACGTGGGCGCGGGCGCCTTTACTTGTTTGAGTCGAAGCGCTGTCGTTATCGTTCGGTATTTTTCCTTTTAGCAATTTTCTTTTGGTAAATATAAGATTAGGATCTGGATGATCCAAATCTCCATCTTTTCCTTGAGCAATATATTCCTCCACGCTACAAAATAGAGGAAATATTTAGACTACATGTAATTGTAAACATACAAAGTTTCGAAGACAAACCAAATACCGACTGCAATAAACTTTGACTCACCGTTTAACAAGTTGTGCTTTTGTGTTTAAACCTTTCGCACTATCACCCCGACTCCTCAGTCAAAATCAAAGTTCATCATTTTTCAATATCGACGGCGCTCTTCCCTCTAAAGATGAACCAGGAATATCACACTCGTGAAGCTTTACAGGAGACGCCATGACACGCTATCCTAAAATGCCTCGCTTTCGTGCTCGTCCCATTCTCCATTCGAGTGGCAGACATTATAATGAGATCGGTGTGTTGAGGCGCTTAATTCAAATTAAAGATGAACGGATATGACAGCATTCGACCAATAACCAGTTCATCATTTCCATATGATATGCACCAAAGCTTTATTCGCTCTTTGGAGATGTTCTTGTAAATTGGGTTCTTGTTCGACAATTTTTTCCTTTCTTTCTTTCTTTCTTTTCGAAAAATAAAATTTGCAAGCTAGCATTATTATTATTATTATTATTATTATTATTATTATTTAATACTTTCAGGATGGAAAACGCACAGTCCACAAGAAATATCAAAATATATACAAGAATTGAAGTAACAAATGAATTATAGTTCTAACTGCATTGTTCGTCTGATCCATCTCTACAGTCCCTGTACACATCGCAGCGACGAGACGCATAAATACACTGTTGTTGATTTGCACAAGCAAACTGATAGTCTCTGCAAGTTACTATGAGATGATGATAAGAAACCCATGAATCGTGACAAATCGTGAAGAATTCATGTACATTTTTATAAAAAAAAGAATAGAATACGAATAGCAACCCCATGAATGAGCGGTTAGCAGCTGCTTTTCAGATATTGATCTTTTGTGTCTGACATTATACGGTTACATATCATCAGAGATCAACTTTAATGACCAATCAAACTCGACAGAATGGTGTCCACCCATTCCTTTTTTTTTCTGTTTGGCGTAATGATTTTATTGAATTCTGCATTTAATTTTGTTCTCGTTGATTTAACGTTTCTGATGGTCTTCCTAAAAACCGAACGTACGCGAGTTTTTTCCGCAAGACCTTTACGATGGTTGGAGTACCCTTAATGGCGACGCGTTTGACCTCTTCTTAGACTTTGCTGTAGACAATCTCTTGATAGCAGAGAATTTCTGCATTTCTTACTTGTAAAAGTTTATTACCTCTATTCACTGACATTTAGCGTGTTCTTTAAGGATATACATATTTTTTAATAAGGCTATCTTCCCCGTAAGCTGTTATCTTTGTGTTCTGTCGATATCCCGATAATGCGAGTTCGAGTGAGCATTTTATGCATATTTGTATTTGATGCTTTAGGCTGGCAGAATATAGCCGTCAGATTGTCAGATTGTGCATTTGTCGAGTGAGAAAGCCCTGAAATTCATTGAAACTCGTAGCAAACGAGCAGAGGGAAAAGGGTCAACATTCTGAATTGCAAGGAGAAAGTTGTTGCTGGCCCTTGACCTTCCCATTTTTTTTTTTTTTTTTAAGGTCAGTTTGCTTTCTCATTTTCGTCAGTATGAGTGCCTCAACTAGTGACTTTTTTTTTTTGAAGAAAAGTAAAATTAAAAATAAAAATAAAAAAATACGGGGGATTGAGAAGGGATAAGGAACACACATAATAATGCTTTTCATAAGTTTTGGCTCTCTTGACATAAAGACAAAGGAATTTTAAAATAAAACAATCTCCTCTCAGCGGTCTCCCTATCAAGCATTGGCTGAAAGGCTTTGTTTTTGTTCCACCTTATTCTTTTTTATTCCTTCTCTAAATAAACCTTTTTTTTTAACTATTACAATCATTTTCAATCTCATATTTCCGCTTTATGGCTACATGCAAACCAATTGCAAACCAGAAAACAAATCTGAAAGGCACATTCGTAATACAACATTCATTTAATGCTGCCATTATTACAAAATTTATGGAGACGATGAATAAACATAAGCTGAAGGTACCTACCGTTAGCTGATTGGTGCAGGTAAAAAAATGAAAAATAGGAAAAGTTAATAAAAATGATCAAATAGTCTTATGACTACCATTAAACTCCACTAACTTTTGCGGTAAAATCAAAATTTCATTGGCCATGGGTGGCCACAATTTATGTGTAAAGAATAATTTTTCCGTGAGCTTCACATTCAGTAACTTCAGGTTTCACTTGTGTTGTGACCGCTTGTGCTTTCGCTTTTTTTCTGGTCAATTTTCATAGTCAATAAGGGTAATGTCAAAAGGTGTCTTCATTTTCTATGATAACTCTTTTTAAAGAGGCTGTATCCTCAAGAAGCCTCATAGTATATCGGATATAAATCCAGCATTCTACCATGCATGGTACAAACCACCGTTTTTGGGGTTCTATTAGATGCATTTTTTTTTCTTTTGCCGAAACGGTGTTTCGCAAATAAAATCATTTCTACCTCATTAAAACAGCTTATTTCATTCGCTGTTGAGGAGACTGTAGCTATCATAAGAATCGCTTTAAAAATTATTGAAAATCTTTATCCAGAAATGGACGAACGTGATAGAAGTAAAAAAAAAATAACCAGTTCAGTATCGTTAAAATGTACTACATACAACTTACGTCAAAGCTTTGTTTCGCTGCTTTGGAGCTGTTCTTATAAATCAAGTTAGTATTTTATATTTCTTTCTTCTCTTTTGAAAAAAGGAAAAAGTAGCTGCAACACCATTTGAAGAGGGTTTCAGATATCTTCCAGATCTCAATTTTAGAGTGGAAAATGCTCAACTCGCAACAAATATGGACTAGAGTTGAGGTAACCCAATCAACTACACTACTGACTGCATTGTTCATCTGAACCATGAGAACAGTCACGGTCGCCATCACAACGCCAACCATCCCTTATGCAATTTTCTTGATTTGCACAAGCAAAGTTATAGGCTTCACAAGATACGAGGAAATTATCAGAAGAATCAATCGAATCGTGAACAATCGTTGACACTTATGGTAAATTTCTACAACTAATTAGAAAATGAATAACAAGGTCATTTTAGTTTCGTTTAACTGAGTTCATAATGTAAACAGGCCACCGTGAAGAGTTTCAAAGCTGACATGGTGCTGTTAGTTTCTTTTAGAGATTACGTTTGATAGTTGATTAACTTTAGCATGCGGATTGGGCGTTGTGTTTTTTTTGTGCTTCTCACTCGAGCGGAGGCAAGCGCGAGAGGAACGCGAAGTGAAAGTCGCATGCCAGGGAAGAAGCGCAAAAATAATTACACCTGCACGACGCTATTGTTCAAGTTCTTCCGCCCCCAGACACCGCTCCAGTTACCAACCAATCACAGCGTTTAAAAGAAGTGGCACGAAGTGCTCTATATACAAGCCAGACGCGAGGCCAATCCCACACGCTCAGTAGATCTCTATATACAAGCCAGACGCGAGGCCAATCCCACACGCTCAGTAGATCTCATTAATGACATTGAGTGTGTGCTATTGTTTACAGTTGTTGTTTAAGGTCAATAGTGTTTTTATCCCCAATTTCTTTCCATTTGTGATATTCAATACCTAATCGATGCATTTCCTTTGCCTATAACTCAGATGGCTCGTTCAGAATCAAACGAAGGGCTTCGTGAATAGCTTTGACCATACGACAGCATGATACAACCACCGCACCATGATATCACGAGACCAAATAGACAATAGTGTGGGTAGAGGCGTTATTTTTTTGCGCTCCTCACCTCCGAGCGCATTAGTCACCACTTGCCTTTTACCTGAGATGTGAAGTCTCTTTTTTTTTTTTTTTTTTTTTTTTTTTGCTTTTTCCCATATAATGTAGGCATTACATGGTTATGTGATTGCGACCAGTTGTCACAAATAGTGAGTGAATCATTTCTGTCAAAATTTATAGACATTCGAATGAGCGGCTTATAAGTCTTTCTAAGTAATAAGTTGAGTCCTCCAAGATCTCCTTCAGATCCAGAAAAGCCTGTTCAGAAAAGATTTGGAATTTGTTTTTTCAATCTTCTCTATTGGGTTAAATTCTATATGCAAATATTCCGTTTACTTATCAGGGTAGAAGTGGTAGCTAAACATAACATAATAATAGATTAACATACTCGCAGATGTGAAGGGAACAGCCACCACCATCAGCAGTAGAGCAGCCTTAGGATTCATGGGAATCTATGCGGAAAGTCAAAAGGTTATTTAATTATTTATCAATCATGTTTTCATTCGGGGAGGGAGAATGGAGAACAAACATTACAATAACCTGCTGAGTGTTGTGAGCCGATGAATAAGGGGGAAAAAGAAGTTGTTAGGTCTTACCCACTATTTAAAGGATTTGTATAGATAAATAAAACCATTTCCAGGAAGTAATTAAATTGGAGAGAAAAACCTTGTCTTTCTAAACTGTTGTTTTCACAATTGTCAAATGTTTTGACTGTCTCTCACTCTGTTGCCGACATTGTGCAAAAGCTACGAACTTTGTTAGTCCGCTCCCCGCACTGTTTTTCTTGCACGGGATAGAAGCGGGCAATCTTGAGCGGGCAAGATGGGCCCATTTTGCTTGTAAGGGTAGCCTTTAAGAACACAGGATCGCTTCTTCCTCACTGCGGGCGCTACCAGCTAAAAACTGAACCGGGGCAATACACCACGCGGAATGTTGGAAGAATACGAGAAAGTTTGGTGTAACACGAGGTGCAGCCAAATGGGTTACAAACTTTTCATTCCTATGATTTTTTTGCTCTCTTTTCCTTTTTTTTCAGTTTTGGCTCTCTTTTTTTTTAATGAACTGTTTAAAGATGAAATGTATCAGGTATTTCCTTTTGAACAAGTGAGCGTTCGAATATAATTCAAGAACAGTCGACCACTTCGATCTAAAATTAAAGAAGTCCATAGAAGCAACGCTCATTTTACAAGCATTAATCAAAAATAAAGCATACAGAAGCAAAATACGCTAAAAAAGATATTGACCCAAACATGCTTAATATACAGAGAAATGTTAATAACACAACATTAATATTATGCTTGTCAAAGCTATTTCTTGGTCAGAGTTAGAATCAGTACTTGTATGATACTGGAGAGCGCTTAAAACCTTAAAAACAATCAGCTTAGAATATTTATTTAACAACGAAAGAAAGGAGCAAAAACGACGGGCAAAATTTTCTCAGAATCAAAATAAACAAATGATGATCATCGGCGACGATTAATTATACGCGGCACCTCATCAGCAGGTTAAGAACGGAATTATAAAACTAGTAACAATGTTCTCAATGCTTCAAACGGAACCAAAATAAATAAAGACTACCTTTATCAAGGATGTTTCCCTGAGAATGAATAGATTCTCACTAAAGAATGTCGAAAGTCGCTGAATATTAATATTCGTTCCGTGACGACATAAGCTGACAAAAAGGAAGACTGTGCCGTTTACTTTGCATAAGGATGTATTTCAGAATCCAATAATCATTTATGTCGATGACCTAAATTCGAATGGAGCCAATAAGAGGACAGGAACATTGTGGGGTTGCAACCATCTGGAGGACTAAATTAACTTCTGAATAAACAGTTTTATAGAACTAGAATTTTATTACCACTTTTTTCTGTAATAATATTTAATCCAGCACGTTGGAAAACTTACGGCGACTCACATCAACAGTTTCTGAGAAATCTTATGGCTAGTAGAGAGCTTGTGACAGCACACTTACGCATGAAACGTGAAAAGCGTTTCAAATGAGAATTTACCTTTGACGCTAAATATTTCCCGTGAAAATAGATAATTACGCGCATGGTTAAGACTGTTCTATTAGGATAGAAAAGGCGAGAATGATAGTAATAATTGCGGTAATGACGATGATGATAAATGTGATAATAAAATATTGACAAGCATTCTAATAAAATAAATAATAATAACCTATAGATGGATAGACATCATGCTGTTTTCATGTTTTTTTTAAGACCACGGCTGATCGACATTCAAAATATTGTTATCTCTGTTGATCAATTTAAGTATATACACCCACTGATTGTTTCTGTTTCAGAATTGCAAAGTGTCTCCACTTATTTGGTTTGTTATTATAATTATTATTGTTATTATTTTCCTTCCTTATTTTTCGCTTTGTGTATTTTTTTAAAGCAAAATGCTTACTTGGTAATTTTTTCTCAATATTTTTGTCCTTTTCAAGACGAAAATCGAGTGAACGTTCAAATATAAGCTGTTAGTTGACTAACTCTAAGGAAAGATGATGGGCAAACAGGGGTGGGGTGGGGAAAGGTAAACTCTTTAGCTCCCAAGGTCTGATTGTTACCTCTCCCCTCTATTTGCTACATATTTCTTCGGAAAGTAAATACAATAATTCGATGTTCGATTGACATAACAACTTCGAATTTCTACCTGATAAGTCGGAGTATTCTCATTACCTGGTTTGCTGATAATGTATGCATATCGTAGGGAGTATTTTTTTTTTAATTACTTCTGGGAGTTTTAAGTTAACCAATCTCTCTTCCCCTTGGTTACATTTTTTTAATGGAATAAATACATGAAAATCAACAACAACAACAATAACAGTTCGTGGCTTTTTTTTTGCGACGTTTCGTCTTCACAAAGACTCTTCAAATAATTTCGGGAATTTTCAGTTTTTTTCGTTGACCGTCGCGCTTGGAGTCTCGTTAGCAAACATCTGTTGATACCTTGATTTTTTTAAAAATGACTGTACTCTTATGAAATAAAGACCAAATGACGGAAATAAAGAGCTTTTTTTAGAAGAGGTTAATCTTTACGTAGATATGTTTGTAATATTCCGTTGCTGCCAATTTTTTTCAGTCAGTTCTGCGTGTTGCAATTACATTGGCAAAGGTATAACCAATTTGTTTTTTTTTCATGTATGTCATGTTGTGGTTATGTCCCTAGTATAGATGTATAGAAAACTTCTTTTTTTAAAATTATTGAAGTTTGCAAATAAAACGTTGAACCAAAAGACGCAATGACTTTTTTTTTTTGGCTACTCATCATAAGATATTACGATCCAACCGATTTGAGTGGAAAAGAATTTTTTTTAACGCACGATTTTACAAATATCCTGCGATATTTGGACAATTGACTAGTTGTTTTTTTTACAGGACTATATACAGACCAATCCAGGGATAATCAGTTAAAAAAAGGAGTTGAGGAAAGCCTGAACTGGACTCGGCTAATAGCCTCGTCCAATTTGCCTATCAGGGGAAAGTTTTTTTAATTGTATGGCAAGTAGTTCTGTTACTCACCGATCATATAGTCAGTCTTTTGTTTTTTTGCATTGCTCAGTCATGCTTAAACCCTTCAATGTTTTAAAACTGTCCAATTAAAGATTAATTTGAATAAATTGATCAACGATTATCTATAGATGTATAAATTCTCAGGTAGCTTTTTTTTTTTTGAACACGATGGCTGATCTGCAGTCAGTATATTATTATTTCTGTTGATTTTTTTTTATACTTATTACATCATAATTCTTTAACCGAAGCCAATTAAGTGAGAGAGCCTTTTTTTTTCCAGTTATCTGGTGACAAATGAATTAAAGTATAGTAAAGTCGTTAGACCGTTTTTTTCGACACCTCTCAAGAAATTTTTCCATTTCCAACAGCTCTCAATTTCGTTTGCTTTTTTTTTATAGTTTTGTTTATTGCTTTTGTTCTCATTTTAAATTTGTCTCGTTTGTTTTTTTTTTTAGTGTGTATTAATTCTTCTTTCATATTGTATTCTTTTATTTTTGGACAGTTTTTTTTAATTGGGAAGCGTTTTGTTGCGATCAAGCGGTCAAGAAAAAAGGAAATTTTATTTTTTTTATGCAAATTAACCAAAGTGCTTAAGAATGTCACTCCACCGACAGGCGCCGATTTTTTTAGATGCTCAGCATGGTCTTTTAAACACAACGAATATATGAAATTCATATATCTTTTTTTCAGTTATAGAAACGTATTTGTGCACGATCCTCGCAGTAAAGGGCACCTTTTATTTTTTTGTGAAAATCAGACCTGAAAAAATTCAGGCTGTACGGGATTCGAACCACTGACTTTTTTTATACCAGTGCAGCGCTAACAGGTCAACTAGGAGCAGGTCATCAAATTAAACCTTTTTTTAAATTGCTCCAATTCGCCATCTTTTGATGGCTCTAAGGAAATATATGAGCAATTTTTTTGAATGTTGCAAGTCTGGTGGATCAACGAAAGTAAACGAAATACTGAACTGAATTTTTTTTAGGTAAACAGGCCACATCGACGTTTCAGGGCCACAAACATTATAAATTAGATAGATCGTTTATTAAATAATACTTTTGCAGTCGTAAAACTGAATTGCGTATTTCACAGATAACATTGGTTAAAATATAAAGGTAAATACAATCATATAAATGTAAAAGCCTAATATGACAAATATAGAATATGTATGACTATCTACAATTAAAGTAGACTTTCTTTGAAACTTTAGGTTTTTTTGGGCGCACCCTGGAACAGAGCATATAAAAGAAAGAGCGTCCAAAACGTTCCGTTTTTTTACGTGGCAAATTATTTATCTCTTGACGCCTTAAATTATGACTAGATTTTTTCTTTTTTTGCAGAAGATGGCACAATTTATGCTCGGGATTGTTAGCGATGGAATCGGACAATTTTTTTCAGAGTTCTATGCGTCTATCATACAAAGTTGGCAGGCCTAAACTGTCAAGGCTTTTTTTATATGACATTTCAGGTGAAATTATGGAAGGCACACGTTTCTGAATTCTTTCTTTTTTTTCATTAAGATAGGCCGGGAGTGATTGATGGAAAACTGGAGCGCAGTATTCTAGTTTTTTTCTAATTGCTAATTGTACAATAAAATTTCACAATGTCAGTAAGGGGGACGCGGTTTTTTTTCAAGGGGACAATAAAATACAGGTGCTTATTTGCTTTCTTAATGCAGTCTGCTTTTTTTTTGTTCCATTTCAACTCACTGGATATCGTAACACCTAATATCTTCGCGCAGTTTTTTTTAGGAAGCTCGTGACCATCTACCTCGAGAGGGGAGAAGTTATGTGGGCTCTTCTTTTTTTCAATGATCATCTCCTTGCATTAATTATCTGCTAAAGAAAGGTAAATTTGAAGTTTTTTTATAGAAAATATCGAAATAATCAGGAACACTTACAAGAAGCTAGCCCATCGCATTTTTTTAACGGAGGACTGAATCAAATATTACATTGACAAATTCGACTGCAAACTATGGTTTTTTTACATGTGCGAATGCTCTGCACCTTAAACATAGTAAG